AACACAAAATTCGAAAATTACAAAGAGACATAACACAGAACCGTAGAAAGCAGGATTAAAAGTGTTCGCAGACTTGTTTTTGCTTCGTTTACAGTTTAAGATGCAGTTTAAATGTAGATAGAAACAGATTTCGTCTTATTGTCATTGGGAAACTATTCCGATAGACCTGGAAGTGCTGTATCTGTGTAAATATCTGGCGTATTCTCCAACATTCTAACTATCAAGGTAAGAAAAATGAAAACTTAAAGGTGAATAATGACGACGCATTAGTGACACACTGAGCAAAACTAATGTGATGCTCATGAATAAAACAGAAGCAACTTGTTCACTCAGATTGATCCTAGAATTAAAATTTTAAATTGATTTCATGACGTAGATATTGGCACAGACAGAGAGATTTGTGCAGTTTAAATGGGGAGACGTGTAATCTGTGAACATCTCTCGCACACGAACTGCACAAAATTCTCCGTCTGTGCCAATATCTACATAATTAAATACATTTTTAATTTTAATTCTAGAACAGGGTGTCAAACATACGGCCCGGGGGCTGGATCCGGCCCTTCCAAAATCTGGCCCTCGGCTGATTTTCTACTAAAATATTTTAATTATATTTTCTATTAAAATATTGTTAATTTTCTGTGGTGTTTATCACAGCAGCGTCTCCAGCGTCTCTGTACGTGGCCCCTCCCACCAGAGCAGCACAAATGAAGACTTGTCTCTTTCCAAACGCTCTTAAAGGTTGTATGGAGGATTTTTTTTGTTGCTTCAAATTGTCAGTGAAAGTTTAAAATACCATTACAGAGATGCAGCAGTTTGTAATTATGATGAGCAAAAAAAAAAAAATGAAAATCTATCAACCGTGGACATAATGAGGCCAGATAAACATCAGCCAATACAAAACGAGGCTTCTCATTTTCTATTGGCTGTTAGGTTGTCAATCAAACTCCCTACGTTTCTAGTGTAACTGACTCGCCGGCGCGCGGGATTACGTGGTTTATGTGGCGGTTTTTCGAGGCTTTTTTAATCTGTAGCGTCCTCGCAGTTCGCACAAAGTTTGTTGCGACGGCGGACGAGAATCCACGACCAGTTCGCCGCAAAATAAAGTCGGTTTTTGAAAGTCGTGAAGAGAAGGGAAAAAGGACAAAAACTGAGGTGAGTCTTGGAGATTTCTTACAGCGACGGCGCGACTGAAGCGGACGAAGGATTTTATTTCTAGACAGGTCACTTCAACAGGAAATTCCTGAACGCGCACCGGCTGTAAACAAGAGTGATTTCTAGAGTAAAGAGGCGGGAGGAGGAGGTGTTTCTACTGAAGGAGCTGTGGAGGAGGAAGGTGGTGTCACACACGGACAACATTGAAAAAGGACTGTCGCTGTATTTCTCTTCCCTTAAAAAATCCTCTATACAACCTTTAAAGGACGATCGTTTTGACTGTTGACCGTGACACCCTCATCAGAAAAATGTCCAACATGAGAAAAGTGGAGCCGAGTGCAGGATTTTACAAGAAAACTGACTTATTCCTATTTGCATACAAGTTCATGTTAAAACATTGTGTTGAAATTGTATTTTTCTTAAAGTTTCAGGTTGTTCATAATATTATAATATTTTGTAAAAAAAAGAGTTCATCAATTAAAAAAGATTTCTGTAATAGATTTGTGTTTCTCTGCACAAATATTTGAACTTATTGTTATTTTTGGGTTTATATGACATGAGTTTTCTGATCCGGCCCCTTTAGGATCAAAGTCGGTTGGATACGACCTCTGGACCAAAATGAGTTTGACACCCCTGAACTAAAATCTGTCTGAATGAACAAGTTGTTTATTAATGAATTAATTACATATCACTTCTGTTTTATTCATGACCATAACATTAGTTTTGTTCAGTGTGTCACTAATGCATCGTCGTTTTTCTCTAAGTTTTGGTCTTTCTTCTCTTGATAGTTGTGGATAAATTCTTCATGTTAGAATATTTATCCTTTGTGGACCTTGTTGTTTGAAGATTTGGTGATGGGGCAGGTTTATGAAGCTGCTGGAGAATACGCCAGACATTTCCACAGATATTTCACCATGGAAAAGCATTAAACGGAAGTCCCACAAACCTACAGCGGGACACTTCCGGCCGCTGTGAAAAAGTTCTACAGAGAGTCCCTGTGTGGTGCGTCTGAGCTGTGGCCCTGATGCCCTCCCACTCATGGTCTTTAGTTTTATGAAGTTCTTCAATGGAGGAGGAGCTGACACTCACTTTTATTAAAATTGTAAAACATAAAAAGTCGTAATTATGTAAATGTACAAGTAAAAATAAGATATAGAAATAAACTAATACAAATATCTGTCAGCTGTGTACATGAGGTCATATGGTGATTTCCCAAATGCTTTTCTAACGGCTTGTGTTGTGTTCAGGGCCCTGTCGGAAAGTCTGATCTCTCCCCTGGAGCAGAAGATGGAGGAGTGGAAGAAAGTGGCCAGTCAGCTGGACAAGGACCACGCCAAAGGTACACGCTGTTTACTCTCACGGAGCCGCTTATTATTTGGCTGGTGCTGTTGAGGAGATTGTGTTCTTAAAGGTGCATTGTGTAACTTTGCCTAACTGCTGTTTCTATGGAAATGTTATTTCTCTGCCTGGAATGTTCCACAGTGTGACATTAAACAGCTCCACCTTAAATTTATTCACTTACAGGTGGTTTTACAGCTCAAAAACACCTAGAAAAACAGACATTCTGACCTGTGACTTGGTCCTGTTTGATCTCCGTGTAGATAGAAAGGTTTAACTCTTTCCCCCATGAAGACGACATTTGACGACCCCCCTGTTTCCTTAATGACGACTTTTGACTCCTCCGCCGTATCACTAAAGACGAGATTTGACGACCTTTAGAAACAGCTCGGTTTTTCACATTTAAACAGAGGCTGTGATCGGTCGGGGCCACTACAACCCACACTAGACTGACCAATAGGATTCAAGGATATGTTTTCGCCGATTTTTTCCGAAGTTAATCGAAATAGTGACGATGGTAGCTTCCGGAAAAAACACAACACGAAACACGTGCAATGGAAAGATCGCGGCGCTGCGGCGCACAGTTTTAGAAATAATGAGGAGCGGACGTATTTTATGGATGAGTTTAGAGAAAGTGACTTTTATAGATTTCAAAGTGATGATGTTGAAGTTGATTATAAAGTGGAAAACAGCGACAGCGACGGACTTTCGGGGAGAAGGTGAGATGCCGCTGATGCGTCTGTGTGGAGTCCTGCGATGTCCCAACAAACTATCTGAGCTTTATACTCGATTATGAACCAAAATTGAAATTGAAATCTGGATGTTGCCCAGGCCAGTCCTTTAAAATATTTCAGTCTTTTTTTTCCAAGATGCGATGTATAACAGAATCACTACAGAAAAAACACTTATGTGGAGCTCTGCACACGAGAAAATAACCAAGATGACAAATACTGGACACACACTGACGAGGAAGAGTTTTATTATTATATTATTATATTATAATAAGCTAAATTAGTTGAATAAGCTAAATGAGTTGAATAAGTTAAATGGAAAAAAATTTATTAGGTGCACACAGGTGAACAACAGGTAAAAACAGGTGCACACTTGGCTCTACTGTATCTGGTGATATGAAATCTGTTTAAATACTTTGACAAAGTATATTTTTTATTTTTTTATGAATATAGTACTCAGAACATGCAGATATCAGATGCTGAATGTAGTTTTTTGTTTTCGAGTTTGCACCTGACCAGGTAAACTCTCATTTTCAGTGAGCTGTTATAAACCTGTAAATGAGTTGAATCACATTTAAACATCCATAAATGAAGAGTTCAGAGTCTAAGGTTTCCAGAGATACAAATATGTCTGTGTTACAATTAAGTTCATGAGTGTAAAAATCATTTATAATCACTCGTGGAAGTCTGTTTTCTTTTATGCAGTTATGCTCTATGGGTAGAACTAGTAACATATGTATGGGTTGTTCCTAGTCGGCGTCCAGGGGGGAAAGAGTTAATGCCATACTGTGAAACATTCCAGACAAAGCGATAACAATAACATCTCCATGGAGAAAAGCGTTTGATGGACCTTCTACCAGAAAAGTTACACACGCTGCACTTTTAAATGAAAAACGGAAGGGGAAGTTTGCCTGAAAATCCAAAGTATTCGCCTGATTAGCCAGTCTCTTCTACATTCTGTTCGAACCCAGAAGAGTCTTGAACTGAGACGGCAGAACGTGCAAATCCTCCATCCAAACTTGAGAAGATTCAACCACACACGTTCATTTGTATCGCGTGACTCTCAAATGCAGGAGACATCTCTTCTTGAAAGTTCGGGGCCGCAGTAAAAAAACAAAAAAAGGGAGGGCCTAGGACCGCTCCTGGGGGCCCACCAACCAATTTAACCTCAGTGCCACTAATGACCGAGCCCTCAGAGCAATTTTATTTTCTCTCAATATGACATTAAATGAGAGTAGTTTTACTTTTAAACAATAATCATAAAAAAAAAAATCATAATCACATGTAATGGAAACAAATCTGTAATTGTACGAGCAAAAAATAAATACTTTCAGTTCTGGTTATCTAGTAGGCTTCCTAAGTAATAAGATATGTTTCCAATCCACCAAAATTCACGTAAATAAATTAAAATAAATGCACGTCTGAAGAAAACATATATATAAAAAAAAAAAAAAAAGACTAACTCCGCCCCTGTCTTCCAGATTTTATTTTAGTTCCATGAGCTGCTCGCATCTACAGGTTGTCATTCAGGAAAATACAGACTGGTATCGTATCGGTGATTTGGTCTGAGAACTCGCCGATACGATACCTGAAAAATTTGCAGTATCAAACCTTTTGCCAAAACCAGTATCTTATCGGAACAACCCTATTTTTAATTTTTTTTATTTTAACATTTTTTCCTCTTTTTGTTTCCTTTCTCGTCAGAATACAAAAAGGCTCGCGCTGACATCAAGAAGAAATCCTCTGACACCATCAAACTGCAGAAGAAAGTCAAGAAAGGTAAGAATCTGGAGAAACTTTTTTTAAAACTCGGAAATTAAACTCTCCAGGAAAAAAAAAACCCTCTCACATCTTTGTTTCGTAAGCGTCTGACCAGGTCCCGACCCCACGTTTTACTGCTGTCAGAAATTTCATAATTCCTCGGCTTTGTCCTAAACCTCTCGGTGAACTTTGAGTCTTAGTTTTTGTTGTTCACTGTTTGCGTTTTTGCCTCTTTAAAGTGACAGATTTTCATGTTTTTTTCCTAATTCTGACTTACGTATAATGGGATTGTACGTTTTGTGTAAATATTTATCGAACTTTACACCCGTTAAGTTTCAATTTGTGGAAGAAAAGCAGTGAAAGTTGACGCCGAGTTCGAGAAGAAAATAATCGTTTGTGTTTTAAAGGATCCTGCATTACGCAAACTTGACTCTTGTGAGCTTTGAGTCATGTTTTTTGTTAGTGTCATCAAAAACATATTTTTGTTCTGTTCTGTTCTGTTTTGTTTCATTCACACGTGTTTGAGTAACTCTTTATTATGAGTCTGTCCACATCTGCAAAGCTCAAAATGCTCTGTTCCACCTCGTGATGTCATTTATTGGTAGGTTTTAAGTTCGCATTTAACTTTTATTTGGCAATTACAGAGCTGAAATTAACAAACCAAATGATTCTAGTGAAGGTGTATCATGGATTTATAATAAAAACTGGATTAAAACTGAATGCGCCCTCTGGTCCTGGCTCGAGACAGACTAGTGGCCGCTCCAGGTACTGCAGCTCCTGGGAGCTTGGGCCCAGAAAAAATTCTCCTATAGGCGAGTTTGAGCTGACGTCATTGTTATTAAAAGCCCGCGTTGCTGCTGGGAAATATTTTGGTCGGAGGCAAGAAACACGGTAGCGTCAAACACAGTGCGTAACCTCGCGTATTTATCCCCGATAATGGTAAATTCCTGCTGCATTATCGGATGCACAAATAGAAGCACGGAAGAAGGAAAATGTCTTTTTCGTATTCTGAGTGAAAAGAACCACTAACGGTGAATTAAACGACTTTCAAACATCCGCAGAGCAAACGTAGAAGATCCTAACAAACCGTGGACTCCAACAAGTTCAACAACACATCGAGACTCTTGGAGGTTTTCATCTTTTCTGCTGTGAATGGCCCAGGAGTTTCCACCAAGTCATTGTGGATATCACCCAAGTGAATATTTGTCCAGGTAGTTGGAGATTCTGACCAGAAATTTGGTTTGGTCCACCTTTTGTCGGGGTTGAAAAGGGTGATTTGTCGTCCGTCGATGCTTTATGACCAATTTTCTGGTCAAATGGTCTTGGGTCCTCTGCCGTTAGAGTGGATAAATAACCGGGATCAATACCCTTTACGTGCTTTCTCGCTCCGTCCGTCATGTTGAATTAGTGTTTCTTGCCGCCGACCAAAATAATTCCCAGCATGCAACGCGCGCTTTTGTCAATAATGAAACTCGCCTATAGATGCACAATGCATTTTGGGAATTCATACTGCCCGTGTTTAACTGACAGGCATCGATAGCTTTCCTAAAGGTTGGATTTTGTAGGATTCTTTTGGATTTTTACAATATACAGAGTTTCCAGGGTCACGGAAATCCTGGAAAAGTAATGGAAATTGAAAATGTCATTTTACAGGCCTGGAATTTTACTATCTCTTTCATGCAACCACAGCGTTCTGTTAAGTTCTCATGAGGCTATTTTGATTATTTCTGAATGTTTGCATCTTTTGTTTAAAAGAGACGACAATAAACGCACTGACAGGATTTTGAATGTTAAAAAACTATAATCCCAAACCATGAAGTGAGTGGAAAGAGTTCACATTTCATATTTAGCCCTAAAAGTCTGATCAAGTCTACAATTCTGCACATAGGTTATGAAAAAGTCAAAAAAAAGTTTTGAAATTTTGTCTGTGAAAAAGAGCGGGAACCCTGGACTTATCCTCACCTCTAGCAGCTCTGGCTCTGATTGGTCCAAACGCTCCACGCCGTGCACGTTACAGACGTCACACGGGTGGGAGGAGCTCGCTGGGATTGAGGAAGAAACTCTCTGTCCCCCCATGTCCCAACAGCCGCCACAGTGGAGAGTTTTAGGTCTCGTTTTAAAACCCACTTTTACTCTCTGTCCATGTGGTCCTCTGTCTTTTATTTATTATAATTATTTATGTATTTATTTATATATTTATGGATTTATTTTATTGATTTTTTTATTTTTTTTTTATTTAGTATTGATTTATTTTATTTATTATTTATTTTTATTTTATTTAGTATTGATTGATTTATTTATTTTTGTACAGCTTTTATGTATTGATTTTATTATTTTTGTTCACTGATTCTATTAGTTTCCTCTTGGTTGGAACATAATTCTGCAGATTTTTTTTTTAAGTAAAATTTTTTAAGTCTTGTTTATAAAACGTGCGATACAAATAAAGTTGGACTGGAGGAAGTAAATACGGACGAGAAAATTATGTTTGTGCCCATGAGCCAATGAGCACAGAGCACTGAAAACAACACGACGTCATCTTGATTTTATTATAGTTCTATGAGTTGTGTGGAGTTTAAAAGCGCAGTGGAGCACTTCCTGTACTTCCACATGACATCACGAGGTGGAACAGAGTGTTTTCTTTCTGTTTGAGAGAAGAACTCAGCCTAAATCTGCAGAGTTTGTGAACAAAACGAAACAGAACTCCAGGTTTTTCTGTTTGTGAAGAGGAAACTACTTCACAGCTATAAAAAGTAGTTTCGTGATACGGGCCCTTTAACTCCCCGTCGTCAGGTGAGTTTGTCTGTTGCCACGGTGACCCCCCCCCGCCGTCACCTGACCGCTCCCCCGCCTCAGGTATCAGAGGGACACGCCTGCGGTCGCCGTGGTTACCCCAGGACCGCAGCGTTTAAGAGCCGACGCCGCGCCGTTCACCGACACACGATACTTAAAAGTGTCTGTAGTGTTTAGCTCTGACTGAACGCCGCCGCGGATCAGACTCAACACGAGAGAGAAAACACGAAATAAAAGGTCCAGGCGACGTTTAGAAGCAATTTAAAACTATATATTGGTTTGTTTTTGTTTATTAAATGGACAATGAATATAAAACGACAAGATAATGCCAAAAAAAAGAGACAAAAACACACACGCAGATGCACATTTTGTTCATTTATTTCCATTTTATTCATGGTTTATACTGATTTTTTGCCATGAAAGAACAAAAAGTGACAAAAATTGGGGAGGAAAATAAAAAAAAAACGTTTATTTAAAGGGCTCATGTTACACTATTTTCTGATATCGTGTAGTTTCCTTGTCACAAACAGACCTGGAGTTGTTTAGTTTCGTTCACAAACTGCAGATTTGGGCTGAGTTCTTCTCTCAGACTGAAAGAAAACGCTCTGTTGCACCTTGTGATGTCACGTGGTAATGTGTTTTTAAACTCCACACACCTTCACGAGAATCTTTTGGATCGTTTCAACGTTGGAATTGTTCATCTCTGCTGGACTAAAGCTGAAAACTATCGCTTCATGAGACATAAATTATCAGTCGGTCTGAGACTGAACCAGGTCTAAAATTTGAAATCTATCCATCCCTCCCTCCCGTTATCTCTCTATCCCTCCCTTTATCTCTCCCTTCCTCCCTGTATCCATCCATCCTTCTCTCTACCATCCCTCTCTCGCTTCCTTCCTCCCTCTAGCCACCAATCCCTCCCTCTATCCCTCTATCATTCCCTCTATCCTTCTCTCCCTCCTTCTATCCCTCAATCCCTCTAAATATCCCTCTGTCTCTTTATGCCCCCTCTATCTATCCGTCCCTCCCTCTATCCCAGCCTCCCTCTTTCTGCCTCTATCAGTTTTACCCTTGCCCCTTCTGTCTCTCCCTCCCTCTATCTATCCCTCAATCCCTCTCTCTATCTCTCTTGTCCCTCTATCAATTTCACCCTCCCTCCCTCTATCCCTCTATCCTTCCCTCCCTCCCTCTGTCTATCCCTCAATCCTTCTCTATCCCTCTTATCCCTCTATCAATTTCACCCACTCTCCCTCCCTCTGTCTATCTATCCTTCCTTCCCTTCCTCTATCTATCTCTCTATCTCTATCCCTCCCTCTCTCTTTCTCTATTGCTCTATCATTCTGTCTTTGTCTCTCTATTTATCTGTCTATCTCTCTCTCTCTATCTCCCTCTAGCCTTCCCTCCCTCTTTCTGTCCCTACCTCCCTCCATCCTTTTATCTATCTATCCCTCCCTCTGTCCTTCCCTCCCTCCCTCTATCCCTCCCACCCTCTATCTATCTATCTATCTATCTATCTATCTATCTATCTATCTATCTATCTTTATCTCTCTATCTGTCTATTTCTGTCTATCTCTCCCTCTCTCTATCCCTCAATCCCTCCCTCCATCCATCCCTCCTGCCCTCTATCCATCCTTCTATCCCTCCCTACCCCTCCCTCCACTTCTCTATCTATCTGTCTATCCCTCTATCTCTCTTTGTTTATCTCTATCCTTCTCTCTCTCTCTCTCTATATCTCTCTTGTCCCTCTATCAATTTCACCCTCCCTCCCTCTATCCTTCCCTCCCCCTCCCTCTATCTATCCCTCAATCCTTCTCTATCCCTCTTATCCCTCTATCAATTTCACCCCCACTCTCCCTCCCTCTATCTATCTATCCTTCCTTCCCTTCCTCTGGCTATCTCTCTATCTCTATCCCTACCTCCCTCTCTCTTTCTCTATCATTCTGTCTTTGTCTCTCTATTTATCTGTATCTCTCTCTATCTCCCTCTAGCCTTCCCTCCCTCTTTCTGTCCCTACCTCCCTCCATCCTTTTATCTATCTATCCCTCCCTCTGTCCTTCCCTCCCTCCCTCTATCCCTCCCACCATCTATCTATCTATCTATCTATCTATCTATCTATCTATCTATCTTATCTGTCTGTCTATTTCTGTCTGTCTCTCCCTCTCTCTATCCCTCAATCCCTCCCTCCATCCATCCCTCCTGCCCTCTATCCATCCTTCTATCCCTCCCGCTAT